GACTCACCTGTCTGACTTGCCCGTCTCCACCAGGAAGAGTTGTGCTGGTTATAAAGGAGAGAGAAATAGCCCAGAGTTGTGGAATGGAAATAATATTGCCTTCTCAATGTACACAGAACATAATTTCACTGCTTTTCTGTGCTGCCAATTATTTAGGAATGCATGGGTTTGAGAATTTTAGATGTTGGAACTTATTTAATGTCACATAAATCACCTATAAACTGCTTATTGTACACATGCCTGGAGCTGAACTATTATTGTGTTACTGTACTGCTAGGAAGAGGCTGATGGCTAAAAGTTCTTTCTTAAGGAGAGTTTCAAAATTTGAAAAATGAGAGCAGTGTATATCCCAGTACTTATCACCTAACTTCAACAATTATCAATTTATTTCATCTGTCCCTTTAAATATTTTCCTCACTCCCCTTAGATGATTTTGAGTTGTTTTCTTGCACTGTTCATGTTTTTAAAATCTTGGGGGGACCTGCTGTACATTTTTGAGAAACAGGTTGTGAAACTGGTTGTCAAAGATCAAGCGCATGACTCTGGAGGCATTGTTCTCCAGTAGCAGAGATGCTATCAGGAGGGTTACAGTTGGGAAACAGGAAAGGCACCAACATCAGTTTACACTACCTTTTTTTTTTTTATGATTTATTTGAAAAGCAGTTACAGAGAGAGAGAGAGAGAAGGGGAGATCTTCTATGCACTTATTTACTCCACAAAGTCTGCAGCTACCAGGACTGTGCTGGGCAGAATCCTCTCAGTCTCCCACGTGGGCACAGAGGCCTAAACACTTGGGCCATTCTCCATTGCTTTCCTAGGTACATTACCAAGGAGCTGAGTCAGAAGTAGAGCAGCCGAAACTCAGACCATTGCTGTGTGGGCTGCCGGCACTCTAGGCAGCAGCTGTGCCGCCCCTAAACTCAGACCATTGCCATGTGGGCTGCTGGCACTCTAGGCAGCAGCTGTGCCGGCCCTAAACTCAGACCATTGCCGTGTGGGCTGCTGGCACTGTGGGCAGCAGCTGTGCCAGCCCTAAACTCAGACCATTGCCGTGTGGGCTGCCGGCACTGTAGGTAGCAGCTGTGCCAGCCCTAAATTACTTTCAACCAAAGGCCTCTGTGAGGCAGATTTACCAGATTCACTGTCCTAGTTGCATGTGACCCTGGATGGAACAGCTTTGTACTGTCTTGGGACACCAGGCAACCATGGGATGAGATCAGTTATTTTGCTTGAGGACTTCGCTTCTTGTACAAATCAATAGTTGTTCTTAACTCCTGACCAAAAGATAGCCATGTGCATTATTTGTGTCTGTGTGTGTATTCATATATTTTAAAGATTTATTTGAAATGCAGAGTTAGAGAAAGACAGAGATATACTATCCACTGGTTCACTGAAATGGCCTCATAGGCCAGGACTGGGACGCGTGGAAACCAGGAATCAGAAACCTCTTCTGAGTCTCCCAATTGAGTACAGGGCCCGAGCCCTTGTGCCATCCTCTGCTGCTTTCCCAGGCGCATTATAGGGGGCTGGGGGCATTTGAGCAGCCAGGACTTGGAACCACCTTGCATGGGATGCTGTTGTCACAGGTAGCGACTTAACCATCGTGCCTCACTGCCAGCCTCTGTACATATATAATATAAATTTCTAAAGACATTTTAGCTGTAATTTTGCTTACTGTAAAATGAAATTTTTAAAATTTTCATTTGTTTGAAATGAAGATAGAGACATAAAAAAAATCAACATCTTCCATCTGTTATTTTACTCCTCAAATGCTCATACAACAGCCAGGGCCGTGCCAGACCAAAGCCAGAAGGCCTGAACTTAATCTAGGTCTCATGTGGGCAGAGCCCAAATACTTGAGCTAAATTTCAAAGCATTGTCAGGTTTCCAACCTAGGCATGCTGATATAGGAGGTAAGCATCCTTTTTTTTTTTTTTTTAATTGACTACATTGCATTATGTGACACAGTTTTATAGGCACTTGGGATTCCTCCCTCCCCTCCCTAACCTCTCCCCTGAGGTAAACATCCTAATGCCAACTTATCACTGTGCCACTTGCCCATGTATTATATTTTCATCCATACAACTAAGATGATTTTAACATGGAAGCTGCTGACTGAAAACTGAATAGTACTTTGGGCCTGGCACAATGATTCAATGGCTAACTTTGCAAGTGCACTCACCTTGCAAGTGCTGGAATCCCATAGGGGTGCCAATTCATTTCCCAGCTGCTCCACTTCCCCTCTAGCTCCCAGCTTGTGGCCTGGAAAAGGTTTAGGACCCTGTATACCCACATGGGAGGACCCGGAGGAAGCTCCTGGTTGCTGGCTTTGGATTGGCTTGGTTCTGGCTATTACAGCCATTTGAGGAACAAACCAGCAGTTGGAAGGTCTTTGTCTCTACTTCTCTCTGTAAAATCTGTTCTGTCTTTCCAATAAATAAATCTTTAAAAAAAAAAAAAACGAATAGTGCTTAAACATCTCAAGTTTATACAAAGGAAGTTCCAATACTAACAAATGTCCTGTTTATAAGTAGATCCTCTTCCGGGTCTCCCATGCAGTGCAGGGTCCCAATCCTTGGGCCATATTTTCTTTCCCAGGCCACAATCAGGGAGTTGGATGGGAAGCAGGGCCACCGGGATTAGAACCAGTGCCAGTATAGCATCCCAGCATGAGCAAGCCAAGGACTTCAGCTGCTACGCTACCGCACAGGCTTTCTAAGCTGAACTGTGCTTACCTAGAAAAGTAGATTGTATTTACCTACAGGGTTTTCTCTTGTTAGCTTTAGATGATCAGTTTTCTAATCAGCTGAAAGAAAGGTGCTGATGTAACTGGATGGTGAGGAGCACCCCCGCCACCCCCAACCTCCTGTGGACACATACTTCCCACACACCAGCTCTGGACAACCACACTGACTTGTTTCTGTTTTCCTCATCTTAAAAATTTCTCTGAATGCTATCCATGGTTCTTCAGTTTTTAGTGTTAAAAAGTCTTCCTTGACACGATTCAACTCTGAGAACCCTCAGTTCTTTGGGGATGGCTGTTTCTAATGCTTGTAAAAAGTGTCCTGAACTTAAGCAATGCAGTTTATATTTTTCTTTTGGCTGCTGCCTACAATGCTGTTATCCCATATGAGCGGTGGTTCCAGTCCCACCTGCTGCACTTTCAGTCCAGCTCTTTGCTAATGTACCTGGGAAAGCAGCACAAGATGTCCCAAGGATTAGGTCCCTTCCCAAGTGGGAGGCCTGGGGGAAATTCCCGCCTCTGTCTGAAGCCTGCTCTGTCCCTGGCCTTGTGGCTTTCTGGGGAGTTAAGCACTGGATCGGAGGGCTCCCTCTCTCTCTCTCAATCTCTCTGTAATTAGCCTTTCAAATAAACAAGTTCAAGAAATTCCGCTTTTCCATGCCCTCGTGTTCAGTTCCCATCTCTGCATCACTTGTTTTCCGTTACGTTTTTCTAGTAGTCCTAATACATGCAAAGAGGTGTCTCATTGTGGTTTTGATTCTCATTTCCGCATTAATTTTTGTTTGCTCATTGGCCATCTTTATGCTTTAGAGAGATGTTTGTTCAGGCCCTTTGCTCGTTTCAAAATCGCCTTTGATATTTGCAGGGATGCTTTATGTGTTCAGGATATTAAATCCTTGTTAGATGGTAAACTTGAACATATTTGCTCCCATTCTGTGGATTGTGTTTTCATTTATGACCCATGTGTCTTTTGCAGCATTTATCAGCTTGTATTGATAATTTTAGAAAGCTTAGTATCTGTTGCCACCATTAGAATGTAAAAGCCATTAAGTTTTGTTTTGTTTTTTTTTACTCATATCCTATACTGCACAAGAGCTATTTTTTGATAAATGAAACTTCCATTTTTAATCACAGTGTGTTTTTTTACTAGTGTTTCTTTATATAGCATTAATTTCACTCATTACCATCCTTTAAAAAAACAGCTTTATTGTGGTATAGTCAGCCAACAATAAACTATGTGTTTTTAAAAACTATATAGTTTGCCAATTTTGATAAATGTATACTTTACTTATATTCATTAGGACACTTAAAGTTATCAGATAGTCCCTAGTCATGTTTTCACTCATCTGGTTTATTCTGTGTTTCCATGTCGGTATTCTGTCTTCTAAGTTAATAATCTTTTCTTCTAAATTGTTTAACTTGCTGTATCTTTCATCCCAGAGATTACGGTTTTCTGGAAATCCAGTTGAGTATTTCTGCTTGTCTGCTTCTCCTGCTCATTGGTACTGCTGGACTTTCCCCTCCCTGTGGTTTGAGAAAATCCCCAGGACAATAAACTGGGTCATGCTTGGGACTCTTGTTGGCTTCCCATCTCTTGGGGGGTCTCTCAGTTGCCCAGTGACTCGCAACTTAAAAACCGTTGCTTTCATGTATTTTGTCCACTTGTAAAAATTATTTTAGGTAAAAGGGTAAATATGCCTGTGGTATTGTACCTTGAGTATCTTATTTCTCTTTATTTCTGTCTCTCTTTGCTTTTTAGAATCTTCCCTGTTCTTTCCTATCTTGTTCATCTTCCCTTAATAATCCTTAGTATCATGTTGAGAGACCTGTTTGTTTTCTTCAGTCAGGTTTAGTTGGTGTAAGGTAAAGAAAGTCTTTCTTTGAAATTTGTGTACTAGATAATAAATAATAATAGAATTAAATAACTCAGTAATTGGGCTGAGGAGGGGATAGTGCCATCCACATTATAGGGGGAGGCAGTTTATAGCATCTAAAGATATTTATTTTACATTCCTGTGAAATTGGTCTGAGAGCAGAAGAGTAGGCACCTTTATTGATATACAGTTTATATGATCAATGTACAATTCATTTAGGATTAGAAATAAATTAATAGATATAGGCCATTATTTAAATATGAGCTAGATGTAGTTTAAGAAAATCTACAAATCTGTGTGAACACACTGTATGACTTTTTCATAGCTCAAGAAAAAGAACAACCCTAAATTGCAGTCTTACACTATTTTTTCCTTTCCTCTAGATTTACCCAGTCACAGGAAGTCGAGCTGGGTCATCATGGCAGAAGGTGGATTCGATCCCTGTGAATGTGTCTGCTCCCATGAACATGCAATGAGAAGGCTGATCAATCTGGTGAGATAAATGGGGCAGTCACAATCAGACTGGTCTCTCTCCTGTCCATCCTGTCTCTGAAAACGTTGTCTCTGAAAAAAATGTTGGAAATTCTACAGTGGTTCAAGTGATCATGGCAAAAATATTTGACAACAACTCTAGGTGGAAACAGATTATAGTCTTGATGGGAGATTCGTGTTGATGAAATTGGCCACCACGGCAATGAAAATCTGATACTTCTTGGGTAGCCTGTTCTGCACTGTGTTAATATCAATACACTGTTCTCAGCTCTGTGGAGCTTGTTGGCCTGCTAAGCCACTACGAAATCTTAGTTTCAGTTAGAATGTGATGCAAATACTACATCTAATCTCTGATATGACAAAAAAATTCTGTGTTAGGCATTTTAAAATCCATATCAATTGTTTGACAGGGGTATATTTCTGAACAAAACGTTTGGATAATCTTGTTGAATCTGTTGTAGTGAGGTTTGAACCAGAGAGTTAAGACATTCCTAGTTTACGAGCTTAAATAGAAATGTGTTTATATTATACACTATACTTGCACTCACTTGGGGAGTGAGTCATCGGACAGAAGATCTTCCTCTCTGTCTCTCCTCTCTGACATCTTAGCCGTGCATGTGAGAAAACTCCAAAAAGTTCATAGAAAGTGTATATTATGATAAAACCATGCAGGGATTTCAAAGGTTTTGTATCAAAATAAGCTTACTTTTGAAAAGAGTTGTAATAATTTATAACATTTTTGAGATGTATTTTCTGTTATCTTATTAATTTATAAAAAATGTAATAACATTTATTTTCATCTACTTGGAAGGTAGAGCAGTAGGGAGAGAGACAGAAACCTGTGTGCTGATTCACTCCTCAGAATGGCCTCTGCAGCCACAGCTGGCCAGGCTGAAGGCAGGAGCACAGACTCCATGTGCGTCTCCCCAACAGGGGAGCACTCATCTGCACCCAGAAGCTAAGTAGCAGGATTTGAAATGGCAGTTCTGCTAGGGGATGCAGGCACCCCATTTAGTGGTTTAACTTGCTGTACTGAAACATCACTGCAAACTTCTGTTTTAATCCTATTTTCAATAGAATTTTTTAAGTACTCTCATGTACACTGGGAAAAACAGGCTTAAAGAAAATAAACAACATGTTAGTAATTCTGGATGGCAGAATTTAGAATGAATATTCTCTTGTGGTTGACCATATAACTTATTCATTCAAGAAGCAGAGACAGGGAGAGGAGAGAATGGAGAGTGCTTGCCCATCTACTAATTCAGTCCCCAAATTCCCATAATGGGCACTGAAGAACTGTGCTGGGAGCCAAGAACTCAATCCACGTCTCTGACATGGATGACAAGAGCCCAGCCACTTGAAGCCAGTACTGCTGCCCCCCAGGGTATGCGTCAGCAGGAAGCTGGAAGCTGGAACAGAGCTGTTACTTGAACCCATGCACTCTGAGAAGGTACACAGGTATCCCAAGCAGCTACAAGGCAAAATGCCTACTCCTGTATTTGTTATGATTATGATTTTTAAAATATTTATTTATTCATTTTTATTGCAAAGTCAGATATACAGAGAGGAGGAAAGACAGATCTTCCATTCGATGCTTCACTCCTCAAGTGAGTACAATGGCCAGTACTGTGCTGATCCGAAGCTGGGAGGGAAGGAGCAGCCGGTTAACAAATTGATTGTCCATATGGGAATCCTGGTATTGCAAGAGACAGATGAACTAATTTAGCCATTATATATCCTACAACCAGGAAAAAGTTAAATGTAAGCCATTACTTTTCCTCTTAATGCTATCAGTACTCTTTTAAAACGTATGAAGTTTTAAAATCTCATGTCTTTGTTTTCTTCGCTTCCAAAAGAACTTTTTTTTTCTCATTCCTGTGATTTTACACTTCAGTAGAACTTTAAACTAGCTCCCAGCCTGTATTTTATAGTTTATCTGAGAGTGTACATTTTCTTGATTTGTTAAAGCTAGGAGAATTTACATTCCTGTGCTCAGGAAAGCCATGGATATCATAACTTTCTGTTAGATTGTGATGAGAGCAGTAGGGGTTGGGTTTAATATTATTTTTCTAAAAACAAAATTTGGTTTTAAAATGAATTTATTTTATTAAATCTTTTTTTTCTATTAAAAATATTCATTTAGTTATTTGAAAGGCAGAGTTAGAGAAAAAGAACTATATTCCTCCCACTGACTCACTCTCCAAATAGCTGTAGTGGGCCAAAACTGCACCACATTGGTGGCAAGGTCCCATGTACTTGGGCAATCTTCTACTTTGCCAGGTGCAGTAGCAGGGTACTTGAGCAGAAGTGAGACAGCCTGCACCTGGCTCAGCAATTTGATTGACTAATCCTCCCTTTCAAGAGCAGGCATACCGTAAAGGTGCCGGTTCTTGTCCTGGCTGCTCCACTTCCAATGCAGCTTCCTGTTTGTGACCTGGGAAGGCAGTAGAGGATGGCCCGATGGACCATGGAAGCCTGCATGGTCGTGGGAGGCCAGGCTAAAGCCAGGAGCTTTCTCCTGGTCTCTGCTGTGGGTACAGAGCTCAAGCACTTGGGCCATCCTTTTCTGCTCTCCTGTGTGCATCAGCAGAGAGCTGCATCGGAAGTGGAGCAGCCGGGGCTTACACTGTCACCTGTGTAGCCCTGTGTAGCAGGCCCCCCGGCTTTCTTAATTTTTAAAGAAATTTCCCCTCTTTGTTACCAAGATAGAACAAGAATTGCTATCAAAGGGAAGTAGAAGATTGGGACATAGGGATTGTATTGTAGGAAGAGAAAGAATAGACCCCTAATTCAGGAATGAAAGAAACAATAAAAGCCTTGGGATAAAGCTTTCCCTACTTTGAGCCTTCTGATAGCACACGCCCCAGGAGGCAGCAGGAGACAGCCCTAGTACAGGGGCCCCTGCCACCCACACTGGCAGCCTGGATGGAGTCCAAGAATCAGACTGCTGCTTGGCCTGGCCTTGATCTTTGCAGCCAATGGGGAGGTGATCCAGCAGATCAAAGATCTGTGTGTCTGTGACACTGCCTTTCAAATAAATCAAGTGTATCTTTAAAAAGTACAAAAAGAAGAACCTTAATTGAAGGCCGTAGAATTTCCTGTGCATGTCTCTGTGTATATGTAAGTAGAAAAATTGTCCATGTCCCCTCAGGCTTTCTGGACATAACAGCAGTTGCAACTTCTTTTTGCTGGTGCCTCATCAGTTCTGATAGACATTTTAGTACAAGGAATTAAATCTGATTTTCATTCAAAATTTTTTGTCTTGTCTGCAGTGTGGAATGTTAAATGATTATCATGGCATATTATTATGGGAGTGTTTTATATGTTATAAACTGTGTGTTCAAGGCTGGTATGACTGCAGTACAAAGAATGTCCATTTTGGGGTGCTCATGACAAAGCTTTTCTTGTATGTGTCCATATGATTTAATGCCATGATTATGTTACGTGAATGTTCTCAGTAAGCTATATTTTGCCAACTCCATAAATGCTTCTATGTATTGTGAAGTGTTCAAAATATTTTTAAAGTAGGTCCTATATTATGTTATAGATGCTTTTCTGCTGTAATACTGTGAAGTTTTTAATGCTTTACTGTTAAATGCTATCTAAAAGCACACAGAGGTAGGAAAATAGATATACTGTGCATCTGTTTTAATTGAAATCAGATGTCTTTTTCATGTTACTTTTAATTCCGTGTCTTATTTGATATGGGAGTATGTCCAGTGCTGAATATCAATTTGTTAGTGATGTAATAAAATACCATGACCTATGTTGAAAGATGTCAGGCCCAAACCCTGGTCTAATCCTGGCATTCTTGTAAGTTGCCTGGTGTTCTTTAAAAAAAAAAAAAAGTAAGGTATTTGTCTAAAGTTACTTTATGTAGTATTTTTTAAAAAAGATTTATCTATTTTTATTGGAAAGACAGATTTGCGGAGAGAAGGAAGGAGAGAGGAAAAGGAGGGGAGAGAGAGGGAATGAGCGTCCATCCACTGGTTCACTTCCGAAATGGCTACTCACACCAGAGCTGAGCCAATCTGAAACCAGGAACCAGGAATTCCCTCCAACTATCTCCCACATGGGTGCAGGGTACCCAGGCTTTGGGCCATCCTGTACTGCTTTCCCAGATCACAAGCAGGAGGATGGATGGGAAGTGAAACAACTGTAACACAAGTCGGTGCCCATATAGGATGTTGGTGCTTGCAGATGCAAGATTGGCCAGTTGAGCCATTGCTCCAGCCCCATGTAGTATTTGTATAAATACACAAAAATCAGTTACTTCTTTGCAAAGTCATGATGGCAGCATGGCAGGGTCATTTGCTCAGCAGTTCCGATCTCTTTGTCTCTCTCTGTAATTCCTTATCCCGGTGCTGTCTCGCTGGCCTTCCCTTGTTTCCGTAGTTTCTTTTCTTTAAGGTTTATTTAATTTATTTATTGGAAAGTCAGATATACAGAGAGGAGGAGATACAGAGAGGAAGATCTTCCATCCATTAATTCACTCCCCAAGTGAGCGCAACTTCTGATGCTGTGCCAATCTGAAGCTGGGAGCCAGGAACCTCTTCCATGTCTCCCACAAGGGTGCAGGGTCCCAGAGCTTTGGGCCGTCCTCAACTGCTTTCCCAGACCACAAGCAGGGAGCCAGATGGGAATCGGGGCTGCCGGGATTAGAACCGGCGCCCATGTAGGATCACAGCACGTTCAAGGCAAGGACTTTTAACTGCTATGCTGTCATGCTGGGCCCAGTTTCTTCTCTTCATGACAGAAATTGCAGAGGCAACAGCCTTGGCAACACTCTGTGTTTTTCTTCTCTCCTATAATTTAGGATTTGGAATGCAGATAGTCCTAATCCTCCTTTTTCTTCTTTAAATTGTTGAGCTCTTGTCTTTCACATCTTAATCCAAATAATGTAACTGAAACTCCCGTCTTCCTTTTTTTGTGTGTGTGTCTGTGTGTTAAAGCACTGTAAGTGTGTGACTTGGGAAACCCTTGGTCAAATTCATCTTTATA